CGCCACAACTATAATATTATGGTTGCAGCACAAATATGGCCGGCTTGACTAGGTAAGGACCACGCTCTCACATAATACCAGCGTAAAACGCGTATAGTGAGTGTAGAGACCGTGTGCTGATTTATCATTCTATTATAATAATAATGTCCTCCAGACCGAATTTCGGCCACGGCGGCCTGCCTCAACGGAGGCTAGCCATCGGCGCAGGACAGGATTATAGTGCACAAGTGTATGCGCACAGCACAGGTGCACTCTTTATTCCCTCATTCTCATAATCCGATGGAACGGTAAACCGACACGACCGGAGAGAGATCAGGCACAGGAACAACGGCTTTACGTGCTTTCCGAGGCACGGGGGTGAGACACCGCCAACTTCCCATCGACAGCTATGAGAATTTGACAGAAAAACTCAATAATTGATTTTTTGGCCCGACCAGGGATTCGAACCCAGGATCTCATGATCAGCAGCCGCACAACTACAACCGGTAGACCAACGAGGCAGACTATTTTATTCTATTATAATACCATTATAAAAAATATGTTTCATAAACCCGTTACGTTATACTAATATAAGTATAACTCTCAATTTCAATTTTTCAACGTCACCTGCAAGCCATGCACTCTTCTGATTGACTGACAAAGCTCTGGCGGGATTGCTATAGCCAAAATCTGTCTCAAAGCTAAGACATCAGTGCCAATCCCTGCTCAACAATCATCCTGTCCGGTATGTTGTTTTTAACTAAATTTGTTGTAGTTATAAAGGTCCACATCTAAGAATGGATTTATAAAAGCTGGTATAGACGACCAAAATAAATTTACTTTGATAATCTTAAAAATTTGATTTCTTTTAACGATAAGCACCCACATAAAGCACCCGGATTTTTTATAGAATAAAGGTGACAAACGAGCACACAGTCCACCTGATGGTAAGTGGATGCTGTGGCCCATAGACATCCACATTTAACCTCGATTAAGAAAACGCAGACGCGTTGTCACCCCTGAGGAATAAGAATATGCCTCGTTTTCAGTAAAAAAGGGTCTCCGGTTCTCTACACTCACCATACGAAACACAGCAGTATTGAGCCGCTATTTTACGCTGGCATTCTGTGAGAGCGTGCTTCTTCCCCGGTCGAGTCGACCCATTCGTGCTACAACTATAATATAGCTGCAACGTGGCTCTATAGCACGTACCTTGGCTTGCTAAATATAGGCAAATATTTTTAAGAAATGCATGAGTTAAATGCAGGCCTTTGTACAGTAGACTTAAGCAGAGATGTCTTAGATGCTTCGTCTAAGAGAGCGTTAGCTACGTCACATTATTTAGATTTATTGTGAACTTGTTTCAAAGTACTGATACTGTAATACTTTTTAATTAGTACAAAATTCTGAAATTTGTCATACATACACATTATAAGAAAATACTTCATTTTAGAGGCATTATTTTAATTTTAGTTGGAAGAAAAGAATTAATGTATTTTTATAATAAACATAGTACAGACAATTAAAATTTTTAAAACTATAGTGAAATGTTTCTTAGATTTTTAGTTCAGAACACACACAAATATTCAAAGTTGCGGTAAATACAAAAACTTAAATGAACACAAATATTTTCACCCCACAATATGTTTATGAAGGGCAGCATAACATTGATTTTCAGCTACCGCCTGAATTTTTTACAAATATTTAAATTTATTATCGGCTTCCTTCCGTAATTTGTTATTACCCACCCGAAAATTCACAACATATGAACCTTAAAATGTATATTTACAATTTTATTAACTTTAAACACGGAATATTTAATGTACTGAACAAAATAATAATTCATAAAATTGTTCAAAACGAAATAAAATTACAAAATATAGCTAATAATAAAATTACAATATAAAGCTATGAGAGAAAGAGAGAAAGCAAATGTGCGCGCGCACTGCTCTCTCTTGCTTATATCCCCCACTCAACCTCCCAGCCTCACCCTATCACACTTTTCGTAACGCTTTCGTCACGCGTTCGCCAGCTTACTACCCAAGTCAAGCTGCCAACAAATTGTAATATAATCACTCGTTTGCTTTACCACTCGGTAACTTATCTTTTAGTTACTTACCGCGGCATGCAAAGGGCTTTTTGGAATGGATATTCTTAACCTCTCAAACGCCAAGCGTCCAAATTTGACCACTTCGATATTCCGTCAAAATTCAAGAGGTCAAATTCGACCGCACCCACCCACAGCACTTTAACCCATAAATACTTATGTTTAGAGACTACTTTTCTATGAAGAAGTTTGGCATTATAGAATCAATATGAAATTTTCTATCCTCTAGTGGAATAAAAATAGTTAGTCTATGGATTTTCATTTATATTCTACGTTCATTACGTTCGCCATTTTCATTTGGATGTTGTTGCGTTGATTTTTGGATTTTTCTAGTGTTTTACTATAGTGTTTTATTATAAAATTGTTATAAAAGTTTTTGTGTTAATATAATTTATCTTTTTCGTAAATAATTTCGAGTAATATATAGAAATAATTGTGATTTTCACGGTGCCGACATCCGCCTGGTACGTTTTTTTTTTGTTATCAAAATACAATTTTTTTTTGTAATGAAGTAAAACCTGACTTTTGTTTAGACCACAGGATAGAGAATTTTGTATAGATTTCATAATGCCAAACTTCTTCATAGAAAAGAAGTCTCTAAATATTGGTTTTAAGTGCTGGGGCTGGATGTGGTCGCATGCGGCCGCTCGGAATTTTATGGTGATTGAAAGATTAATGTTTACCACGTTTTCTCTACTATAGTAATATTTACAATAATTTTAAATACAACGAAATATTTGTTATGATTATAAATATTGAAAGATAAGCAATTAAATATTTCAATTACTACATAAGACTAAATTCCGTATTAACATATATAATAGTCAAGTCGCGTCGTGAATAGAACGCCCTATTCGCCTGAGAAGACTAAACAATTTTCGCATAATGATGTTCGTTTCATCGCTAAATTACAAAGCTAAGAGGAAGCGTGATCATAGACATCGATTTATTTTACATTCATTCTTTTGATGAATAAGTTAACAACTTATTTACGTTGCTCAGAGATCGTGGGTATATTGTAAGCATAACCTTAAGAACTTGAATAAGTGCTTTCGCACGAAATAACGAGTGACAGAATAATATTGATCTAAATTGGGCGCATTTCGTGGTATCTTCATTAAATTTCTGTTTTTCGTTCAACAAAATTAACAAAACCTCAACAAAAATTTAACAAAAACTCTTTATAAAAAAACTACAAACACAACTTTTTAAAATGACAAATAGCAAGACGATAAAGTGTAAAAGGTTCAAACCATTAATCCCAGTTCGCAGAATACACTACACAGTATTGTAACATTTACTTTATTGAAATAAAACTAATTTTTACGGATTTTATCGCGTATATTTAACTTATTTTATATTCCCGACGTTTCGAGCACTTTATTCCTATATTATACCTATGGTCACGGGAGGTCTGAGGTGTTCGACGTCCCAATGTCATAGTTAACTACGGCTACCTTGAGATTAAAATTATAAATTTTTGTTCCGATCTTCGCAGTATGAACTTAGTATAGTAACTTATAATAGTAACTTTTTTTAACTTTTTAACTTGTGTATTCACAGACTGCAAACTGCTCCGGGAAGTCTACAGTCTGTGAACACGTACAGAATCCTAGTGACCATGGGTGCTGTAAAGTGCTCGAAACGTCGAAAATATAAAATAATCATTATTTATTATGTTCGTCACTATCAGCAACGTCATTATAATGGTAAGATCGAATCCATGAGATTAAATTATTTTTATATATAAGTACGGTATTTATATAACTAAAATTAAAAACTAGTACACTACACTAGATGATTTCATTAAAAGGAGTTTTACAATTAGCCTCCCTGCATAAGGTATCCCTGCATAATGGTATCATTACTTAAGTCTATCAAACTCTATGAAATAAGGGGTCGATCAACATTAACTGTTACCAGGCTACCACTCGAGAATTACTCTTTTCCAATGGGTAATACATTGGTCTACATGTAATATTAACAGAACTTGATAATGAAAAGAATTTCGTAGCGTGCTAAATAAAATTCTACGACAGTATTTAATACCACTCCCAAAGGTAAAAGAAAACTGACAGCCCTAAAATTACTAGGGGCAGAGTATTAATGCTCTAAATGGGTCGCTCTGACCCTCCGATATTCTAAATCCCTTCACCAAACCAATGAAATATGGAACAAAGAGAAAACGGGTTTTGATGTACAATATAAGCGAATAAAGAGAGCTGTTTATTGGGCACACCTTGTTGCCATGTAAAAGTGAGTTTTAATAAGTTACGAGGGGACTTCATAAAGGGTTGGGTTGGAGTGTACGTGATTGTGTTGCATAGTAAATATTTACAGCTTATTAAAAATTACTCATTTCGTATTTAAATTTCTTATTTGTAGCATCCATTCATCGAGTTTGGGTGATTGTGACAATAGAGTGTTTCAATTTAAATTCCATAATTTAGTACCTATAATTTAGAAGTATTTAGACGTCTAATTTGGAATAGTTTATCGTTTCTAATTTGGAAAAGTTATATTGTTTAAATATGAATGGTAATAAATTAATGATAAAATTAATTATAGTTTTCAAATAAATTTGTCGTTACGTTAGCGCCCAACCTACTGTAAGTTAATTGTACGATGCCTATAACCTACGCGCAAGTACAAGCAATAAGTTGACAGAGTTTTAGCGCAGTCTTATAAACGATATGCCAGCGCATAAAATACGAACAAATAAACATTAACTTTCATATATTAGATTTAAGTATTTTAAAATTGACAATAATAAGTGTTATGAGCGTCGAAATCAATCTGAGTCAATTTTAGAATAGAAATGAATTTTCCCATAGTCAGTTACTTATGATAATACAGTAACCATAACAATGTGTGCGATATTTAAATAATGCATGACATAGTAGGAACAACTTACCTGACGAACCTGCTTGTACTGCTCCTCAAAGCTCCATCCAGCAGCGCTGCCTTCTGATGATGATGAAGACGCGGAGCCAGCGGGCTGCGCGGGGGGCGGCGGCGCGGGTGCTAGGAAAGCGGGGGGCGCATATGGGAACCCCCCAGTGGCCCCCGCTCCCGCAAGCGCAAACACGCTACTGGGGGTCGACAAAGGTGCTCCTTGCGCCAAAGAGGCCAGTGACGAGAGGTGCGGATGGAGCGAAGTCTTGAGCGATTCAAAGTCATCGCGGACCTAGGAATTAAAATTGTATTAAAACTTTCCAAAAGCTGTGCCAGATCCTTTAATTTATAAAAAGGAATTAAATCTAGCAAAATTCAAAATGCATTATTACTGTCTCTCTTGACGATAGCAATAAAAGATTTTTACGTGGTCGAGCCACGTTGCAACTATATTATGGTTTTAGCAAGAATAAGTTAGCTCAACGCGGGAAGTACCAGGTTCATCACCACGCTCAAAGAACACCAGTGTTAAATAGCAGCTTAATGCTGCTGTGTTTCGTACGGTGAATGTAGAGAACCGGAGATGCCTTTTACCAGTAACGATGCACTCTATTTTAGTCCTCAAGGGTGACAATGCACATGCACTTTTATTCTTAATCGAGGATATATAATATGTCATATAGGTATCATACATCCTCGTATAGGCCACAGATTTAACATACCATGTGGTAGACTGCGTGCTCGTATGTCACATTTATTTTTTAAAGGAATAGATGTCTCACAACTTTGAGGTTTTTCTAACCTTTTCTATTTCCCTCTTACGACAAAATGGGTTTGTCACCACCAGATGGCAATATAAATAAAAGAAGTATGCCCACTTTCCAAACATTACAGGTCGCGTCTACCTACAACTACTGTTGCATAAAATCAATTATTGTTTATAATAACATAATAACTTTTTATTTAGAGGCCAGGGAAAAATGTTATAAACTATATAAATAAGTTTTTCAGGTTATAACCTGTCAACTGTACACTATGCCGTGGAAAGAAAAATAACTTCCACACCATAGTAATAAACCACAAAAAATCGAGACTAATCATAAAATAATAAGATAAGTAACAAAAAACAATTGGTTATTTTGAACATTCATAATTCATAAACTACGTGACAAATTAATAAGATTTTCATAGTCTGTGAAACGAAATGTGTAAAAATACGTTTTTTTAAATATATATTGTCATGGCTTCTGGGCTTTTAAGTCATTGTTAAACGCATTCCGTCTCCAAATGTCTATTGAGAATGATAAACATCGTAATATTACTTTTTATCCTGGCTTTATTGGAAAATTCAATTATGCGATACGAAATAAGCAAAATAAAGGCAATTTTATAAGATATTTTACAACATATCACGCGTTAGAAAATTTTCAGGTCAAAATTGGACATGATTCTTTGTCTTAATAAAAGAATAATGTTTGTTATAAATACATTTATCTTTACATACCTTCAACTCCCTCTCAAGTGGGCGCGGCGAATTCCTTTGATGAGGGTGGTTCAATTGGTGATTATTGATCGGCTGGTGGTTGATCGCGGCATGGTGGTTCATGTTGTGCTGCTGGTGCTGAAGCGGCTGCAGCGATTGATGTGGCTGGTGTTGATGCTGGTGGGGTTGGTGCTGGTGGGGCTGATGGGGTGCTGGTGCGTCCCGGCCCACACCCTCATCCGAGCTTTCACAGGACTGCTCTCCAGACGATTCACCTTCTGACCGTGCCGACTGTGAATAAAATGGATAATGAGTCAATTTGTTCTATTGTTATTTAGAGCTAGAACCAATATATTTTAGCATATGTTACTTTTATTCGTCATTGTCGAATATCTTAACTCGTCCAGTCACATATATTATGAAGAGTTTTTTACCTATTAAAATGAAAAAAATAATAAAACTTTCTAAATGTTTAAACTATTTAAAAAATAAATAAGTGCGTGCGAATATCAATAAGCATTTGATTTAATTTTGTCATCATTTATCGTTATGTATTTTTATTAAGTGGAAACCCGCGCGATTTTTTTTATAGAAGAGGGGGCAAACGAGCATGCGGTTCACCTGATGTTAAGTGACTACCGCCGCCCATGATCAACCGCAACACCAGGGGAATTACAGTTGCGTTGCCGGCCCTTTAGAAAGGAGTAAGCTCTTTTCTTGAAGGTCCCCGGGTCGTATCGGTCCGGAAAAATCTCCGGTTAGTAGTTATTGTGCGAAAATATTTTTTTATTCTTTTTAATTTTTAAGTTATATATATATATATATATATATATATATATATATATATATATATATATATATATATATTTCAAATATCTGCGAATGTGTGAGAGAGTGGTAACGATTAAAGTGCTAGTTGTTAAGACAAATACCCTCTTAAAATTTACTCATTAAACTATTTTTTTTTACAAATTAGAACCTTCAAACTAAATACTTGATACCGGCAAATGTACTAGTCTAGTGAGTTTATAAGATAGAACAAAAAACAATAGCTATTGTCATTTAGAATTCTTATTTTAATCTCATATATGACGCCTATAAAAATTCTAAACGACGAATGTGATTTAATCAAACATAATAACACTCTTTTAGAGGTTTATTCGTGTCTTATTTTAACTGCATACAGAAGGCAAGTGCTTTTAACATGAAAAGCATCTACTGGAACCGACAATTATATATAAATGTCGCGAGGCGTCAAGAACGCCCATAAAAACTTAATAATAGCGACATCGTTATTACTGTCATTTATTCTTGATAATTTTATGAAATGTTCTTGTAATTATATTCAGTAATGATTTTACATAGAATTGTAAACCTTTTCTGCAATCTCAAAAACAATAAATAATTTACTCCCTCCAATTATATTCATTCGTTCGTTATTCAGAATAAACAATTAATTAACAATATAATAAAATGCAACCGTGTCGTGATGGTGTTGAAATCCCATATTATCATCAACCCCATATCATCACGAGGATGTTGAAAGAGGAGAAATGAAATAGGAATGCGCAGCAGTATTTTCCTGATAATACTGCAAAATAATAAAAAACTACGATAGCTAACTCTAAGCCGACAACTATGAAAATATCCCTTATAAGGCAATTTATGGGGGATGCCTAAGTTCATGTATGGATTAATAGGGGATTGTTTAACATTCTTTGAAATTACAAATAAACAATAGCATAACACTGTCTAGTTTTTTCTTTACTTATATATATACACTCGAGAAGCCCAGTTATTGACTATGGGTTTAGTTCTAAAGTTAAACGTTAAGAATATAGAGTTAAGATGCCTTACAAGATACGTACGAACGAATTGCTTGTGGATTATTATGATGAAGCGGTTTAAATGATTTTTCTTTATAACTTCAAAAGCGCCCCATATTGAAGTATGACAAACCTTCTAGGAGGTCTATGGGATCTTAGTCAGTTGATCTAAGGTTGAGTGGGGGATGGGGTCGGACCATCATTAAGAGTAAAAAATTGGGAATAAATAACGTGATTCTAGTAGTAACCTTCAACTTGTGCTGTTTATGTTATCACTCAAGACTGTAAAGTGTTAATTTAAAGTAGAACCTATTTTAAAAAGTTAAAAAATCCATATAATATGTAATAGCTTATAAAATCGGGCCCTTTCTCGTAATTCTTTGATACTTAAAATATGAAATATATATTAATATTTTTGAATCATTAACCATTTACTTTATATATTGGTATTACGTATTAAATTAAAAAGTATAAAACTAATTCTCCTAATTTTTAATAATATATACGAGCAAAGTATTATTACTTTTGTAGAAAATTATTGGTAGTCACCAGTAATTAATAAAATTGTTCTCTAGGATAAAAAGTCAAAATTATATCTTCATGCATTACAGCATTACTGACATACACATTAATTACATATATTTTGTTAAAAACTCTTAACATTTCTAAATTCAGTCTCTTTAACTATTAAATTAATTTTTTTTCGTTTGTTTGCAATCTAGTTCCGTTTGTCCGACATATTACGATAATTGGCTCGTGGTTGCGTAGCGTAGGTAAACACAGCGCTCGAGGCTTCAAAACTGTTCAATTACTATCCAAAGTATTTGCGTGCATGTGGTATGACTCTATAAACCTATATAATATTGACTGCATCATCGGCAGATGGCAGTGTCTTCGCAAATCGCCTTAAGGCCTCATTATTACTGAAACTGTCCTTTCCAAGAAAATAAACAAGTATAATTCTCGGCATAACACAATTCACATTAACAAACAAAAATGTTATACTTTATAATTGTCATTTTGATTATCAACAAAAACAAAAGCACAAGTGGCAGATAGCCAAATTAGTTTCCTTTTAAACCTAATTTTAATACAATGAAGATAAAATACCTTCATTGAAAAAGACATGTGACATGTGACTCTACATTAACCCCTAATGCTGGTCAAAATAAATACACTAGTATGTTGATCTTCACCACCAATTCAGTAAGAAAAATTTCTTATTAATTAACGTAAGTTTTTGTTTATGGGTATAAGTAGATTGTAAGCTTCTGAGTAACCACTAACCAGCAAGGGGATTGAGTACTTGTTTATAATCTTAAACAACAACAAAAATACATAGGTACCAAGTGAACACATAGGTAACATATCAATCACCAAAACATATTATCAGTGTCGTGCAGCATACTTCCAGGGAGAATTTGCCGTGATCGAAACGCTTTGATAATTTCCGTTTTAATTGTAAATTGTAACACCGCGGGATGGTTGGCGGCGTACTCCCCCCGTCGTCGAGAGTCGAGTTAGACGCAAAGAAAGAGCCTAGAAGATCGGCTTTCTCCTTTGCGGTGTAGGCCAGTGAGTCGTCCTCCCTGTGCAGAGATGGAAGAGATGGCTGACAGAAATTCCCCTGGACAGCCTTGGCGAGAGACCAGAATGCACGGGTTCCAGAAGGAAGACGAACTAGTCTCTCGCCAATTCTGCCTATGTGCTCTGACTTTGCCTTGGCAATGACTCTTTTGAAGGACCTAGAGGCGGAATTATACTTCTTTTTTAGAGCGCTGGTGTTTACATCCCTGGACGCTGATGCGTCAGCCCAGGCTCGGTAGCACTCCTGCTTATAGCATGATGCTATTTTACAGGAGCGACCAAACCATGGCTGAGATTTGCCTCCAATGGGCACCACAGAGGAAGGAATAAAAAGTTCCATACCCTGAAGTACCACATCAGCGACAGAATCCGCAACAACGTTGGGATCGTCCGGCGAGAAGCAAACCCGCCCCCAAGGGTAGGATGCAAAGAAAGACCGCATCCCATCCCAATCGGCTGACCTATAGTGCCAAACACTGCAGAATGCAACCGCGATTTCAGCGTGAGTGGCACCACACTCCGGACAAGACAATGGTCCGAGGAGCCTAAAGGGGCGTCGACTGAAATCTGATATCCGTCCGGGTGAGAGGTCAGCAGAAGGTCCAACAGGGAAGGTGCATGATCCTCCACATCTGGAATCCGCGTAGGCGAAGTAACCAGTTGTGTCAGACCATATGCCAAGGCAAAATCATGAACAGATCTCCCCGCATGATCGGTTAAACGTGAACCGAGCCATTCGGCGTGATGGGCGTTAAAGTCGCCGAGGATCACGATCTCTGCGGAGGGGATCTTCTGTAGCAACGAATCTGCAGCCATTTGGACGTGGTCGAAGAGTCGGTCTGTTTCGGCATTACCGCTATGGGACCTATAGAGGCACCCGTAGACGCGCGGATGGTCGTCGCTGTCTACGCGTAGCCAAAGGATGGACAGGTCCGAACCTTCAAGTCTGCCGAGGCGTCGAGAACAGATGTCCTCTCTGACGTAAACGCAAACTCCAGCCCGAGGCACAAAGGAGTGTTCCAGTTTGTACCCCGGGCAGGAGAGATACGAGACATCAGCCGGAGAGGACACCTGCGTCTCGGTCAGAAAGAGCAGAGCCGGCCTCGCCGTCTCGAGATGGTAGTGGACGGCGTTTAGGTTAGAGTGAAGTCCCCTGATATTGCAGAAATTCACGTACAGCGTGGCAGGGGTCGCCTTGGTCTTGTTGCTCCGTTTGCCCCGAGCAGTTTTAGTCTTGAGCGGAATATTGCCCCCCCCCCCCCCAGAATACGCGGGGCAGCCTGAGCACCCACGCTCAGAAGTGGAGAAACATGGTCGTGGATGCTCAGCGAGGGATTCTCCAGGGGTGCTGGTACCCTCCTGGGGTAGTCTATCATTTAATTCCGCTACCATGTTGATGGGGGGGGGGGGGGGATTTGGGCCTCCGGCCACCTGCACTCACCAGACGAAACGCGGAAGCAGAGCTTCCACTTCACGCCGGTATTCTGTGAGGTCGTGGTACCACCCCGGTTTGAGCCGGCCCATACGTGCGACAGCAAAGCTGCCGCGTGGCTCTACCACTTTAAATACATCAGCTCATTAATTCAACGTTTTCTTTTATTGCCAGGACGGAAAAATCACAAATCGATTTAACAGTCTCGATAATAAAACAAGTTACATCGGGATCGATATAACAAAACTGTAGCACAGGCGGCAATCAAATCGTTGGTCAAAATGAGCGCGTTTTGCGCCGCCGCCAGCCCGCGGCCCTCAATTACGACATTAAAATTATTATTTTATTTCGATTTTTATTTATTATTCGCATTATTATATTGTGTGGAGTTATTATCGGTGAAATGTTTCGTTCGGATAAACGTTCCCGTCGAAACGACACGCAAG